AGAATAATAGCAGTTTTTGCAGATAATAATACTCCAACACAGGAGAAATCAAAAAGCCCTCTAACGCTAATACGGGAAAGATGTTATTTATTTATAAGTGCTCTGTGGTTCAACACTATCGGGTCCGTCCTAAATCTCTGCTTTGTTCCACTTCCCTTAATAGAAGAGTTGAAGCGTTGAGTGATTTTTCACAGTACATATTTATGGCCGATATCAAAGGTATCTGCTCACTCGTCTTGCTCGGGTATAAATAGCAGAAGAAGTTAGGCTAGACCCTCGGCCATTAAGAGCTATGAGAATGAGAGAGGATGTAATTCAGACATCCTGCCGGTTTCTCAAAGCGCCGCCATTTCTAAAATCATCACTACTGCTGGTTTTTCAGGAAATTAACCTTTTTTATTGACTTGCTGCCCTTTAGGGTTTATTCTTCCAACCTACAATGTTCAATAAAGAAAAGAAATCCCATCTCATCTGGTACAGGTCAATAGCGATTGATGAAAATTAGACGTATTTCTATGAGCTACTTGTCTGTTGCAGATTGTAGTTAAACTGACCAATTCAATCACACTTTGAAGCCACAAACACTTACGGTTCTTTTCAATCAGCAAAAGATATGACAAATCTTTAAGAGGGTACAGATGGACACAGCTGGTTAACCTTTAATCGTAACAAAGCTATGTCTCCAACCATTAATGGGTGGCAATATAATGAGATCTGATCTAGTCCAGTGGGCTTGAGATGAATTGATCTTGCTCATTTTATTTCATTAGCTACAGTGCATTAGGTATGTTAATTTGGTCTCTCATGCTCAACAGTGATTAGTGGACATTAACAAAGAAGGATACGTTGCATTTAAAATGGTAATAAATACCATAAGTATGCTCTGACTGTAACGTTGTTTTGTGTTTGTGATTTTAAGAGTTGCTAAAACACTGACATTAGACTGCGTATTGTCTGTTTTAATCAAATACTAACTACTAAATGGAGATAAAGCACTGGGGATGCTAATGTAACAATCAACATTATACTAAATATACATTCAATGCACTGCATAGAATTCTCAACATACAGAAGGTGGTGGCAGTGCCTCCTGGTGGCAGATCCACATGTCTAACAAGACCGAAAAAGGCAACTGTGACACTATCTTGCAGTAAAGGTATATGTAAAATATCTAAATATATCTAAAATACAAACACAAACACGGTAAGTGTCAAACCTGGCAGTAAAGTAGTTGGTTTTCTGACTGCTTTAATTGAAGTACAGTACTGCAGATACAATTTCGTAGTCCCTCTGTGCTGTGGACTCTTGGAGCGACCGTCGCCACGCGTCTCAGACGTGACTCAGCCGCGGTGTAATCAGCAAAACAAAACAGCCCCGTCTTCAGATAGATGGGCAACGTTGCTATCGCACTTGCTCTGTTACATTCATCCTGTCATGTTCACTCTGCTGCATTAAACTTTGGACCGAACATGTCATATCCATGACATGGAGATGGATGGACGCCCCATCATCCATCTCCCTCTGTTGGGTAAAACGAAACAGCTCAGACCAGCACCTCTTCCCCTTCACACACCTACGCCGGGTGCACCTGATGAGGTAAATCCGGGCTGTTCTTTACTGTCCATCTGGCTGCAGAACACAAGTAGCTGTGACAGCTCCACAGCTGTCGAGTTGTTTGAGAAGCCTTGAAAGATTATCCATTGATTTGCAGAGAAATGCGTGAGGGTTGCCCGTTCGCACGTAAAAGAGGTTCAATTTTGCTACCTTCAAAAGTCCTGATATAATTTCACCCTTTCTTGGCTTCCGCAGTGGTGCAGTAATTGACTTTTGGAGGTGAATACTAATGTCTAGTGTCTGTGACAGACTTGTTTGTAACCTATTGTGATTTGGACATTTTGTTTGAAGAGGATATTGACCAAATCCTACCCTCGGTCCACAGGTCTTATTTGTAACAACCTTCTGTGCTTTTGTTGTTTGACAATACTGTCGCACCGCAGCCGATGACTCAAAGCTGCAGATAAATCAACAGCTTTCACCCTCCTGCAAATGTGCCAGAATCCTTTTCCATCGAGGTTGGAATGATTACAAGTGATTTGAGCAGAACAAACAAATACCAGAAGCAAGAGCATTTTTGCTTTCTGTGCACTGTTAAAAAGCGCTGAAAATAAAGGAAATAAATGCATGTACTTATATTTGAGCAAGAGCTTCTTCCTCCTCTTTTGCACCTGCAATCTTAATTATGCAGTTAATATCATGCACCCAATCAGCAGTTCTCAGCCTATGCACCGTGGCACATTGGCTCAATTGGATTTAGGCTTGATAATGGGTTTTTAATAAATGGTAGCCAACATTTAGAAAGCTGACCCAAAGCATTCTGCCCACGTTGAACCAGTGAGCCCAACATTCCCTGAATAAGCATGTTGCATGTAAACTGGAGGAAAATAAATATTGGTGAAACCTTCTGCAAAAAAGAAAGGATATATTTTTGGTGACTTAATATTAATGTTTATGTGTTAAGTGTTAACAATGGTCACTTTGTCTGCCGGCTGTTTAATGTTTTATTTGCTGATTACATTTCCAAAGATATTACCCTGCGATTTAAACACAAATGTCGCTTTAATTAAGTTTTACAGCTACATGTGTCGGCAAAGACTTAAATGGTTATTAGAGACCAATTGTTGCATAGAAAGAGGAGAGGGAAGGAGCCACGGGGCTTTTACATGGTCACTTTTCTTGTTTCACTACGGGGAGCCTAACAGCAGACATTCATGAATGAAATGTCACCGACAAAAACGGACTCAGAAAAATTATAATTCATAAGACGTCAGCCATTCATTCATCCTCCAGTAAACAGTGTCTTTTTTAAATTAGATGCTCTTTAATGTGCAGAGTGTAGAAATGATGAACAATCAACAATAAAAAAATCTTTAGCAGTAAAAATCATTTGAGCCTCATGTGTTGTTCCTACATTTTCCAAGATAAAATATATATATAAAAAAATTTCTTCATGCCAGAACGTGCTGCAGTGAAGTCGGACTAGCTCCACACTCTGCACAGGCACCTCAAACATTGGCACCAAACTCGCATGACCTTCTTCTCCTGTATCATTATGCTCTAGTTTCCCGTCTCTAGCGTGTCTCTCAAAGCAGGCGCCCCTCCAGCTCCATTTTTCTCATTCACTCTCCTCACTCCTCATTCACTCATTATGAGGGGATTCAGCGGCCGCAACACCATCAGCAGCACAACTTCAAATGTGGCCGTTCCAGGTGGCTTAATACCTTTTAACGGGGTGTAAATCTGCCTCAACCAAAACATTTATCAATCATCCTTCCCGGCCCAGAATATCATTCATTGCACAGCGTGATTTAGGGCTTAATCTCATTCACTTGTGTCTGCGGACATGCGTGTCAAATGTAGCTGACAGGGCCGGTGTTGTGTTTGGAAGATGACTGACATTTCTAAGTAGGTTGTGTTTGTCCTCTCCTCTCGTCCTCCTCCTGGATGTTCTGTCTTTTCTGCTGGTTTGTTTGCAGATCCCCTGATTTGAAAGATGACAGCTTAATAATGTGTTTCACTGTTTTAATGACTTATGAGTATGCAACAACATTCGCTGACCTTTCTGTGTGTGTGTGTGCGTGTGTGTGTGTGTGTGTAAATGAGATGATGTGAATTTGTGAGGCAGGAAACTGCAGACACAAAGTCCATAATTAAGCGTAAAAATTGAGCAACAAAAAAGACAAAAATTAGGAGAACTTCATGTTTTTAGATGTGAGTTCCTAATAGTTGTTCTGTTTTAACTGGCATCAACAGTGAGTTGACCAGTGGAAATCGTAGTCTGAAGCTTTCCGATATTGACGATAAGCGATGTGGGTTTTGATTAAAAGGTTGAATAAACCACGAGGAGGCCTCATTAAACCTCCATTTATAGTCACAGTATTTACGAAATATCCTCGTGAAAGGATGCAGTGTGTTTCCATCCCAAGTCAATAAAGGTCACTTTAAATTTTGAGAGACCACTGCTGATTATAATTCCACTTAAATTAAGATATTCAGCATGTTTAGTGTTACTCTTTGGTTGAGGTCAATCCCTCCCCACCTAAAAACACACAGTGTGACGCTGATACGATCTGCAGAAGAAGGGAAAGTATATATTTTTTGGTTATGTTGACATTACAATGGTAATCACCAAGACCAACGAGCAGATGCGTTTTGAACTTCTTCCTCTCTTCCTTTGTGCATTTCTGAACATGTTGTTGCGTTACCGCCCCCTGGTGATCAGGGGAAGGTGTAACACCATTGGTGGGACTATAAAACAGCTCCAGAGCGCTACTAGAGGTGCGAAACGCTCAATGGGAGCCTTTTAGATTAAATAAAAGCCTAATTTTACGTCATGACATTTGGAGGCCAATCACAACTTTATGATTAGGAGAATTTTCATTTTCAGAAATATTCAGGTATTTGCAAATTTGCTCGTTTTTCAATGAGCGAAATGGATTGAACGTAATACAAAATGTTATCAACATAATTAGAGAAAAATAATTTTTAACAGCAAGTTAACACCAAGCATATACTCTTGTATGATTGAAAACATTTACATCTGACACAATCTAACATCTAACATCAGTACTGATCAGTTAATAATCACACTTCAAAATATGATACTATTTAATGTCTCTGTGTGTTTTTTTGTATTTTATTTGAGATGTTCATAAAGTAATCAGGAAAAAGACGTCCCTTCAATCATTAAAACACAGTTAAAAATTCACAAAATGCGGTCTGTTTTAACGCCGCCGTCCAGAACGGCGCGAACGGAGCGCGCACGCGTAGCGCGCGCACGCTGTTTCTGCACGAATGTGAAACACGCGGAGACAGAGAGACAAGCCGAGGAGGAGCTCCGCCGCCTCACGCCGGTCCGCGTCAACGGGAGGCAGTTAGGCGCACTTGGATTACCGGACAGTCAACCGTCACCTCTCGTAGCGGCTCCACACCGGCGGCCTGCTGCTGCCCCGCGCGCTCATTCATCTCATTAAAAAAAATAGGCAGACACCTGATTAAAAAGCCGCTTCGGTGGAAGCATTTGATTCATTTATTTATTATGGGTTTTATCTCCGTGGATGCAAAAAAAAAAAAAGTTTTTTTTTTTCTCGGCGCCGGGTTAATTAGGAGCGCAGAATCTGCGAGTTGGTCCCAGAGGACGGAAACCGGCGGGCTGCTGTGAACCTCCTCAGCATCTGTCACCGGAGCGGCTGCTTCCAGAACCCGCTGAAGGTAAGTCACCGCGGTGGTCCCTCTCAACTTCTCAAGTCGCTCCTGGCGTAAAGATGAGTCATACATGAAGGGGGTCGTGTGTGCGGCGCGTCCGGCAGCTTCTTAAATCCCGGTTTAATTCATTGCGTGTCACATGTTTAGGAGGATATGACAACGTTATGGCCGTGACTGTTGACGCAGTGTGAATTGGATTTTTATTTTCCCGTGTTCCATACTGTAAAATGATTATTTAAGTGTTGCCTGTAGGTGAGGTGTTTAAATCTATAGCTCACCTAAAGGTTGTTTGGTGCTAGAGAGCAAATGTGACTCATACTCTAGTGCACATTTGTCTATGGTGCTTTAAATGCATGTATAAAAAATAATATATATATAAAATATCTTTTAGAATTGCGTGACAGCAAAGGAGCATTCCGTGGTTTGGGGCTCCTTCTGGAGGAACCCTGCGATGTGATGCAGTGATCCACCGGCTAATTGAAATTCACTGATGCCCAGAAATACCAAAAAAGGCTGCAGACATCTTGGTGTATCCTTTACCTCACACACACACACACACACACACACACACACACACACACACACACACACACACACACACACACACACACACACACACACACACACACTACGTTGCTTCCACTTGGGGCTGACATGGGGAAGAGAAATATGTGAAATAAAATTGCAGGTGCTGAAACAAACCCACAAATGAGCAATCAGGCAACACACAATGCAAAACGGTGTGACACAGATTAAAGGTCATTGCATGCGACCTTTCTGCACACGCTGTTTTAATCACGACGGTAAAGGGCTCTGCATCCCGGCGAGGGTAAAGCTCCTTCTGGCTTCCCTCTCAGAAAAGAACTGTTGACTGTCGGGTTCAAATTTGCACGAGCCAAACCCACCCAGGACTTCCCTCGCCCGCTCCTCTGCGTGGGCAATTTTCCCAACCGCATCATGTCAGCTCAATCGTGAAAAAAGGGGGCGAAATAAGCATTCTGTCATTGACCCCAATGGCCCGCCAGCCGGTAAACCAAGCCAAGACAACGTCTTCAGTAAATGCTGCGAGAGATCCAGTCTCCAGTCGCGGCAGAATCAGAGCAGAAAAAGCTGAAGTGCCTTGGGAGACGTCGGTGGCGGACTCCGGGATTCTTCTTTTGGGGATTCCTCCCGTGTTTACGTAACCGCGTCGTCTGGCGGTTTATTACAAGAAGCCGGTGTGTGACTGCGAGGAATGAGAGCTCCTCGGCGCATACTGATACCCACGCACCGTGTAACACAGACAGAGACGGGAATAGCAACAGAGACACACCGGGCGAGGCTGTCAAAAAGGAACAGAGCGAGACAGGAATGAGACGGCGAGCGATGTTGAGATACGGACCAACGTGGGCTGAGATAACGCGCAGAGCCCCAGCGGCCGAGTTTCGGAGCCGTCGGCATCGTTGGCCGGCTGCTTTGAGTCCCAGAGATAAGTTGGTTCGTTCATCACCCCGAACCGCAGTCGGTCGGTCTGGTCGGAGACATCAAGCGAAGCGAGAGGTCAGAGGCGTCTGGATGGAAAGAAGGAAAGACAGGCCTTTGGAGGGACTATTTAAAAAAGAAAAGAAAAGCTCCATTCGCCATATCAATGGTCTCAAAGTATTTGAGGAATGGCTTTTCAAAGCCTTTTTCTTCGCCGAAATGAGAAGATAAATGGGTGGCAGAGATTCATACGCAGTACCTTTGTGCTTTTATGGGGTTTTGGACCTCGATGGTCCTGTAATTGTGTTTTTAATGGCCACACGGACGCACACACTTGTATGCACAGCTATATCCTGTCCCCCCCCACACACAGACACACCCATCACTCTAAACCTGTCAGCAGACTAATCACCGCTTCTTCTTATTCCTCAATATTAATCAAGCTAATGCTTCATATTTTATTCATGGGTACATACGATGACCCTAAATGTCGCTGATTCCGCCAGCCTGGGATTTGTGATCGCCGAATTTACATAGTAGGAATAACAGTCATCCTGCTGTGTGATGCTCCATGAGAGGAACCAAGAATCACGTGAATTAACATGATTGTGGACCCCGGAGTTGCAAATGTGCAAAAGCCCCCCGACTTTTGACTGCAAGCTGTCTTAACCTCGTCGGGATGACGTGAACAATTCTGCTGTCGCGACGTGTCCTACTTACATTGAGTTGGAAAACCTCAAAAGGAGAAAAAAGTGCACAGTGTAGCCTCACGGTGAAATGTCACGCGCTGGGTTTCCCCTGCAAGCGGGCCATTCATCAGACGGATCCAACCTTTTCCATTACACAATAAATAGGACTGTGTTGTCAGAGCCAGAGGTCAGACGCTACTTCTTCATTTCACGCCACCGTAGTCGTACAGCAGCAGCTGATTAGGACATTTAAAGAGTAGCAAGAGAAGCTCGGGATGACTTTGCTGAAACTATTGAGCTGTACCGGTTTTAGGCTGCGATATGCGCGGCACAGATGGAGTTGTCCGCCTCTGATGTTTGGATCTCCGCGTTGGTCAGATATGAACTTTTATTCAGGCGAATGCTCCTGCTCACGTTTTTTTTCCCCGCGCGGTAAAATTGAATTTCTCAGTCATCTGTTGCAGTTATCTCTGCCCCGTTAAGCTGTTTACCAAGTGCAGGCCGGATGAGCAGTTTTTTTTGCCTAACAGATGCTCGCAACATTTCATTTGTGGCTCAACTCACTGACCACTACAAAACAACAACCAAAAATGTCGTCTGCATTCTTTTTATGCAGCGATTCTTGCAAATAGCGCTCCACGCGGCCTCAGTAGGCGGTGCTAGAATCGAGTAAGTGGCGCCATGAGTTGCACGCCCGCTCGTGCGTTTGACAAAAACACACAGATGTATTTGTGTTGAATGTTTTCACCGCTGACATATTACATCTTTCCCCTCCTCTAATTCTTAAATTGAATTTGCAGCAATGCTATTTAAGACGCTACAGCTGCACGGCTAATGGCAGAGCGTGCTCCCTTACTGCCCCGATCGATCGGATGAAATCCTGGGCAGCATTTGTGAGCAGAACAACGTGCAGGCCCACATCACGCTCCTATTTTTCCAACCATAATCATCTTACAAGTTTACCTCGCCAAAATAACATCATCTGATTTGATACATTAAAAGCAACATGAAAGAATAAAAAGCTGGGGTTGTTATAACGTAATGGTTATTAAGTGTGAACCCCGGTAGCTTCCTGTTGCTTGACTCAAATGGCTCGTCTTTAAAAGATCCTTTCTATGAGTTCAAACTTCTTTTTTTTCTCCCGGCACTTCAAGCTGGTCTCGTGGCTCAGATCCTCTGGATTTGGTGCTCTCACACGTCACTGATGAATCGGTGTACGTGCCAGCAGTCTGTCCTGCCCATGGCATATAGATTGTGACCTTTTATTCATGGGAACTTGCTTTTTCCACTAAATAAATGACTTAACGTGTCAGCGGAAACAAGGAATTGGAGGTACACATAGTTCAGATTAGCATTTAGACTGGTAAGAGGGGAAACAGCTGCCTGGCTCAGTCCAAATGTAACAGAATGTACTCTGCTGTGCCTCTAAAGCTGCTTCTTTCTCCCAGCTAATGAACAGCTCTTCTTTACTCTTAAGGGTCCGTACAGATACAATTAGATATCACATTTTAATTAATGAAGTTTAGAGGTGCTAGCGGGAATATTCTAACACCAGAGACTCGATGATTCAGAAACCCCCTTTCGAGGCCCTGAGAAATATCTGTCAACAGCAGGAGCGGCACATCAGACCCTCCTCGAAGACCCCCCGCTGAGCCTCTCTCAGAGGAGCAAAACCCAGCGTGGTTTGCAGTAATTAAAGTGGTTTAAAGGAGTACTTTTCCCTCCGTGTGTGCGCTGGGATACATGGGGGATTCTGATTTACTACAATATCCCCAGACTACCAGACCACTCACTGATTTCCTTTGCCGATAGGCTCTTTTTCCTCCTCATTTCGGGGCTTATTTCAGGCCTCTCTCTGGCTCAAGGGGGCCGGCTTCTAAACCCAGTGTAATCACCCCCCCTCCCCCTTCCGCGGCCCCCCCCCCCCCCCGGTAAGGTTTCTGGGATTGATCGGTGGCACCCGAGCTGTTTCGCTGACTATAGAAGTGGTGCGTAATGATGTTCTCCTCCTTCAAACACATTACATTTATTTTCGTTGGGCTCTCCATTAAGTCATTTCTCTGGGAAATTCGGAGGAGCTTTTAAAAGTTCCAGCGTCAGAAAAAGCGCCAAAATGTCCTTTCTAGGACATTTGTCATTTGCACAAACACGATCGCTGTATATTTCTGTGAAACTTCAAACGCTTCCTAAGGAATGACGTCTACGTCCTGGTTACTATGACACACTTGCCCTCTGTTTCTTGATTTATGCTGTACTTGATTCCCTCTAAATATTCTTAAAAAATCTATATATTCTTACTTGAATAGAACGCTTCAAGGACCCTGACTGCAGGGCAAGCCTGCCCTTCAAAGCCACAACACTGAGTCAAAACAGCAGAAAGGCTCGGCCGGGCTCTTGAGGCTCTGAGAGGGATTCAGGGGCTTCAGAATGAGGCTTCAGGGGCTTGTTGTAAAAAGAGAGAGTGATTCGCAGCATAACACGCTGTTCTTGAAAAGCTCTCCGCTCAACTGCTTTACTCTTCTTACCTCTTTGTCACTATGGCTCCTCTTATCCATATTCCTCAATTCTACTCTAGTCATCGCTCCTGATTTGGAGTGTATTCTTCATGTGTTATTTATGTATCTCTGTTTTCTTTGTTTCTTTGCCCCGGGGTCAAAACCTTTTTTGAGTTACTATTTTAGTTTTTTCCTGCTGGCCACCGAGCATCCGTGTGGTAACAGCACCCATCGCTCTCTGGGTCTGTTTACAGCTTGAAGCACCCAGACTCAGCCGGTTCCCCGACCCAACAGACCGTACGGGGAACACTGTGCCCAAAGGGGGAATTGTAGTTAATGCCCTCTGGCTGAGATCCATCGACAAAAAAAATTCTTTAATTGGTTTCCCATAGACCTTGGATGCAGTGTGCCTCTTCTCCAATTGCTTATTGATGCAAGTAGGAGTTAGAAATGTAGGACAGAAGGCAGTATCCTAATGGGATCTGTATTACATGCAGGAATCTATCTTTTCAAATGCTTTAGTTTATTTTATTTATAGATCTACACAGATTCTGTTATTCTATCCTGGTCAGTTGATTACAGAAAACTATAAAAACTTCCCCTGTTACTTTGAAGGGATTATTTACGCTTTGGGAAAATAAAACCCTCAATGTAAAGATCATCAGCCTCATTGAAATCAGGAATGTGTGGCTTGTGTGCTTGCTTGTTTTTTGGATACGTTGATCCAATCCTCTTTTTTTTTTCCCGGCAAAGCCCGGCTCGGCTCTTTCGGGCGGATGGAAGATCTAAATTATTTTGAAAAAAAAAAAGATTGAACGTAGAAAGAAAAGCAAACTTTGAGAGGCGGATCAAGGGTCCTCCCTCTCGGTGATGATTGAGAGCTTACTGTGGAAGAATGTGCACTTCTATCCATCTTTACTTTCCACCCTGGAGTTGAGATGTGATCTTTAAGATGTGAATTATAATCTGCAGATGGCGAGGGGGATGGAAAACGCCGTACAGTAAGTCAGCACGATGACAGGCGCAGGCCTCAGCAGCCGGCCCATCTGTCACTGTCACTTCCTCCAACTCAAATGGCTTTTTACAGCTTGTATTGGGATGTTTTCACTCATTCCTTTAAAATTTAGAATGGTTTTTTAATTGTATTCAAAAGTTAAAGTGACTTTGTGGAAAGACTGTGGGGGAAATGAGACTTGAAACTTGAAACTATAACCTTTGACCGTTTGAAAACCAAATTACCAAACCATATTGCTTTTTGTTATGATGTAAAACTGTTTCAGAAAGCCGTTTTCTGCGGGAAGCTTTTTATTACGGTGGAGAAATCCTTTGTAAATCCTTTGTGTAATGATTAGCTGTATGTGTTGATTAGTTAATATATTGTATTATACATGGGTTTTTATTTATGCAGATCATTTTGATCAGTATTTTAATTGACTAATACGATATTAAAAATGCTTTTTTAAAGATAATAGGAATAGTTGAAAATATCTAATAATTATAATGAGCAATAATGACTTAATAATACGCTGAGAGTATTATGGATCACAACTAATTACTAAGTCCAATACATACCAGTAGATGGTAAATTCTGCTGGTACAGAGTAGTTATTCTACTAATAACTGTCAACATAACAGTATCTGTGTCATTTATTAATCATACATGTCAATTTCAAAACCCTTTTTTGAAGCACAGCAGAGGCTTTACAATGAACAACACATTATGTATATATATTATAGACATACTGAAACTTTTGGTACTTTAATGAATAATTATGAGGCAGACTGTGTTGGAAATGGTGAAAAAACATCAGGCACATCACTGAACCACTGATTTGTTAATAGTGGGGCAATTTGCACTGTACTTTCCAGGCTCTTCCTGGGCTCTAAATGGTTGATATGAACATGGCACAGATAATGGTAATGGTATCAGACAGAGAGGAAATGGGAGACTCTTTTCACCTCTGTGAATATATGTGCCCATGCGTGCGTGTGTGTGTGTGTTTTGATACAGGAGCACGTGGATTGGCGTGAATCCAGCAGCACACGTTTCCTTTCTAGCCAGCCCGCGTGTGCAAAAGAGTACCGATAAGGAATAGAGTTGAGCTGAACCCTGTTGAACTCCTCAGCGGAGTGCAGCTCAAGCATCTGGTGAGAGCTATTAAACACATCCCTTTTTTATTCTCATAGTCTTGAATGGAAAATTCGAAGAAAGATTGTTGAATCCGAATGTGAAATAAAGAGCGATTATTTCATATGGAGATATTTTTAGAGCAGTGACGTCAAAATAGCCCGAGCAGACGTTATGATTCGTTAACTTTCCATTAGATTGCATGACAATGACTTATGATCTTTATGTATCCATGCTGCGTTTTTTTCCAAAGAGCATCTTTAAGTCTGTGCGTGCCTGATAAAACGTCCTAATAGCAACATGATATATTTGGACTGTAGCAGACACGGCTGCACGTAAAATCCACTCCTGCTTACCACTACAGCAATAAGGGTGGAGATCTTGGACTCGGCCAAAGCTTTAGAGTAGCCTTTTGTGTGCGCCACACCATGGTATAGGGGACATATGTGATGCGTTTCTTTTTTTGGAATATTGTACATTCTGTTGCTACAAAAATGCAATCTTCAGACTATTCCTGTTAACATGTTTGCAAAGAGATGGATGAAAACATGGATACTCTCATATGTGGGAAACATTTGAAGCCACAGCCTGGAGATGCTTTGCAAAAAGAAGGGAAACTGTTAAAAAATATTTATTTGGCTTTGATATTAAATTAATAATATGAAGCATTAATGTGCTTTTGAAGAGCTTGGCAATGGATTTTGACAGCTTCATACATGGTGGCTTACATCTTCCTTCGGAAAATACCTTCGGAAAATTAAATGCTCTGTTCTTCACACTGCCAGAGAACATTTTCAATAGCACGCGAGAATGCAGACATAAAAGATCATATTAAAACAGCCAGATAGAAATCTACAACGCCTGAAAGAGCATACGCGCACACATATGTGCGTGCATGAACGTGTTGTAGACTTAATTAAGGATCCCAGTTTGGGCATTAGAAAATTTGGTAACCTGATTCATTGGCAAGGCAATTTTATTTGTATAGCACTTTTCAAAAACAAGGCAATTAAAAAAAACGTTAAAAAACATCTCAACATAAAGCAAGGACAATTAAAACAGTTAAGGAAATTGATTGAAACATAAAAGAAAAACGGTCTTTTATTGAAAGATAAAACAACGTTAAACAAAGAAATTCTGAAAATCAGAAATGGTGAATTAGAGGCAGCAGCAAACACAAAGGTCTTTAATCTGGATTTAAAGGAGACGAGGGACTCAGCAGACCTGCAACTTTCTGGGACTTTGTTCCAGAAATGTGGAGCAGAAAAACTGAACGCTGCTTCTCTACGTTTAGTTTTAGCTCTGGGGCCAGAGAGTCGACCCGTCCCAGACGACCTGAGGGCTCGTGGCGGTTCGTAAGGTATCAGCAGATGGGAAATGTACTTTGGCCCTAAACCATTCAGTGCTTTTTAAACCAACCGCAGCATTTGAAGTCAATTCTTTGTTCTACAGGAAGTCCGTGTAAAGGCTTGAGAACGGGAGCGTTGTGATTCATGGATACATCTTGAATAATTGGCTAAATATCTGTGTCGCAGGCTTTATCTCTGGGAATCAATCCATTCAAATGAATTTTGTGCAGTGAAATGCGCGTTGGAGCGCTGATGAGTCGGCTACTTGCACATGTAATATAGTTCTGCTATCTCCCTCTGCCCTGAACTGCAGTCAATAATCCTCTCTCTGCCAAACCCAGTTTAATGTGGTTTGTACTATACAGCAGGTGCCGGGGAATGACCAATCACAGCGTGAGAGGGAAATTAACCCACCCTCCCAATCTTACATTAAATTTAGAAGCAGCAGCCGCTGGTGGATCAGGACGACTAATGCAACGGGAAAATAGTTTGTTAGCTAGATTGTAATGTTCACGATGCACATTTAATCAACGTTATAGAGCCAATCAACTGTGCTCGCTTTCATTCCAGGATATTCTGCCGAGGCAGTAGCTCGCATGCCTGTCGTTGTCTGCTGTCCCCAATCAAAGTTTTTTTTTAACCTTTTCTGAAGACGTTCAGCAGTTTTAAGGCATTTGGAGTTTTTACTGCGTTCCTTCACCTGACAGGTGAAGACGTTCTGTATGACAAGTTGGAAACATCTAACTGAAATGCTTGTTATTATGGGAGCCATTATGTTCAGTTGAATAGCTTGTTAAAAGTGTGTGTGTGTGTGTGTGTGTGTGTGTGTGTGTGTGTGTGTGTGTGTGTGTGTGTGTGTGTGAGACTCGGGTAGTAGTCTTCTGTCTGAATAATACGTAGAAGGAGAAGCATCCTCCTTTTGCTGTTCTGTCTTGAAACCGCGCAGCAAGCAGCACATTATGTTTTTTTTGTCCCTGCAAATTATGTTGAAATGCTGAACGATTAATTATTAATTCCCAATTCCTAAGTGGTTATTCCCCCCTCTTTTCTGCTCAAGAAGACAACTCAGTGACGCTTTCTATTCATTAATATGAGCAGGATGGAATCATTTAAATCGATTAAAAAAACAATCAGAGTTCCAGGTCGACGCAGAAAGGAAAGTAATTCATTTGTTACAAATTATTTTTTGGTTTTGGTAGCAAGTATTCATTTTTTCATGCAGTACCACAAACTCTTAGAGATTACTTTTTCCATCTTGATTTTGACTGAAAGCAATTTGATTATCATGTCTTGTGCTTAATTTTAGTAGGAAATATTGCTTTGTCATCAGCAAAGAAATTATGAGTGGTGCGGAACAGGTACATTTCATAGGAATAAATGATAATAATAGCAAAAAATAAACATTAAAATAGAATAAAAAACACTTATAGTCAGATGAGTCATTCGATATTAAATCAATATACATATTTGTATGTCCCGTGTCACACAGCCGGAGGAAGAAATGCTTGATGATGCTTCTTTTATTCTTCTGCTGCTTTACTTACTGGTTTACGCCAAATAGACCACTGTGCATCAGTCACTAGAAGACGGGCGAGATTAGGTATTTGGTTTCAGTGTATTATTTCGTATTTGACTTGTATTTCCGTGCAGTTACTTTCTCCTCACAGCCCATTTTCTGTGGACGCATGGGGCATCATGGATTGTTTCCCTGCAGGCACAGAGTATCAGTAATACACATATTTATAGTACAGCAGATGTTTTGCGTGGAGGTTGAACGAAAGGAAATGCTTCCTGGGTTTTCATGGAAAAAGTTCATAGCTACAAATGATTTTCCTACAAGGGAAACGTGTTTGAAAAAAAAAACAGAACATCGAATTATGTTGTATCCATTTTCAGTGCATGCGTCTTATTGGATCATGTCGGAGTACCTCCACTTTACGCTGTGAGTCTCCCATGTGTTTTTACGGCGCCTGCTGACACAAAGCTATTTCTGTCATGCTCCCTCCCACCTAGCCGGATTTATGGCCAAGAATGGTTTCTCCATTCACTTCCCAGAATATTCAGTTGTTCCGATACATGCTGATCATTTTCCATCCGAATGAGATGCTCTTTGAACTGTCTGGTTTGAGCGTGAGATTGAGTAGCATGATACAGTTTGATCTCTGCTCTCGGGGCCTCTGATCCCATCCCAGCAGATTTATTACCTCTTGATCCAGAGGGGCTTATCTTTTATTTTTGATTTGTAGCATCTCTTCTGTTTAGTTTTTATGCTCTTTATTGTACATCATTTCCATTCTTCTTCCATTCAGGTCTCTGCACTCACAGTTGCCTTTTGATCCTTTTCAGCGTTAAGGATGCTGATGGAAAGGAGCTTCAGAGAGCTCGACTTGCAAAGCCAGACGTGGGATTGTAATGTCCGCAATGGGAAGGGGGGGTGTAATATTGCAAAATATAAAGCATCTCCTGAACATTAACAAAATTTAATTTAATTCTAGTCAGTATACATGTTGATAGACATCTCAGTTATCCCAGAATACCTTTGTATTTAAGACATTGTGGGGAATAAATGTACATACTGTTATCTAGAGGGAGGATCTATACCACCTTGAATTAAAGCAGCTATTCAGACTCTATCCAAATATACAGTACATTTCAACAAGAAGGCTATTCAAAGTGCTCGTGCAACAATTCACCTACCAGCTCCTCTAAATCTCTTTTATAAACACATGCACGACAGATTATATCTTTTTTCATTTGACCACAACATGGTTAAACATACTTCCAAAAATGTTCAGTGTATCAAAATGTTTTGGAGGATTGAGTTTGAGGTGTTTTGCGAGCTGAAACAAACCTAAGAGAGGTCATATGGCGCTTGCCATCTGTCCTCTGCTCCCTGCTCTTATGCCACGAGACAAAAAAAACAAACGTCATTGGTTAGTCGTCAAATGAGATGTCCTCTCAGTGGAAAGTCAAGAGGAAATGAAGAGGCTTGGGAAAGGAAAGTGTCCCGGATGAAAGGACTGATGCCCTGAAAGTGCCCCTCCGTTCAGTGGAAGATGTCTTTTAGCACCTGACGCTCTCCACTGTGCTTCTGAAAGGCCAAAAGCAACCTAATCAGCTCAGGAAGCAAACAAAAACGTATGTCAATGTCAGGGAGGAGGCTGCTTCTTTGACACAACAAAGCAGAGACTGGTAAACAGACTCCTTTCTTTCTGATATCAGGGGGATACAATGTTATTCAGGACATTAAGCTGAGTGGATATATTGAATAAGCCTGGAAACTAACCTGAATGCTCTCTGTTCTTATTGGAAATATGTTTAGTGACAGTCTAAACTGCATCCATGTTCGATTTTTACATCATCTTGAACTAGAAAGCATGATACACTAATGCTCTTAGAATATGCATTTTATAGTGCTGGACTGTCTTTATTGCTTGTACAAATTCCCATTTGAAAAGTATGAAACCTTGTAAATTGACATTGCCATTATAATGAAAGGAACAGCTGTCCTCAAAATTGCTCATTGTTACGAACACATTGGCATGAAACCAGGTCTCTAACTAAACACCAATTCAGAAGTTACCCTACGAATGACATCAGCTCAAATGAATCAACTGCATGCAAATCCGCTGAAGCATTGAAAGCAGCAATCACACCATTGTCTTTCTTTT